GCCGACGGGCGTGCCCGCGCCGCCGCCGCCCGACACCGCCGCCGCGGGGCCGCCGGCCATGCCGCCGCCCATGCCCATGCCGTCGCCGCCGCTCATCGCGCCCATCGCGCCCGACGGCGCCGGGGGCAGCGCCGAGTAGCCGCCCGCCTCCCCCTCGAGCAGCGCCGCCGTCGCGTTGCCGCCGCGCGCGTCCTCCCGGTGCCGCTTGCTCGCCTTCTGCCCGCCGCTGCGCTTCATCGGCGGCGCCTGCAGCGGTTCGAGCGAGTCCCACTGATCAAACCCGCCGCCGCCGCCGCCGCCGCCGCCGCGGCCGCCGGCGCTGGCGCGGCCGGCGGCGCCCTTGGGGGGCGGTCCGCCGTACTCAAAGGGGTGGTACTCGTGGGGGGCCGCCAAGTGGTGCACCTGGGGCGCTGAAAACTCCACCTCAAACTGCTCCAGGGTCTGGGCGTGTATATTTCGAATTTGGGGGGCAGGGGGTTGGCGTGATGGGCCGCTTGCCGGCTGAGGCCGCGCCGGGCCGGGTGGGGTGGCAGGGCGGCGTGTGGCTGCGCAAGGGGCGAGGGGCGGGGATCGGCCGCGGGTCGCACGCACACACGTGCTGCGTCAGCGGACGTCAGACAGGTCGCCCGCCCGGTCACGGGGCCACGGCGCGAATACAGCAGATCAGGTCGGATCAGGCCAGATCGCGCGGCGGCGGCCGGCGCGTCCCTGCCGCAGCCATGGAGCCTGGGCCCCCACCTTTTCCAGCTCCTCGTTGTGCATCTGCAGCAGGTCGTTGGCCTGCTGTCCAAGCTGCACCTTCTCCTCCGCAAACTGCAGCAGCTGCTGCTGCATGCTGGACACCTGGGACGACAGCTCCTTAAAGCGCTGCGGCCCCGCAGGGGATTTGCGGCCCCGCAGGGGATTTCCGGATGTGATGACAAGACGGTGCATGAGTCATGGCGATGGTGGTGTCATTGGTGGCTGGTCACCCAGGCGGCACCGGCACCCCGCGCATGACCCGCGTGCGTAAGCGCCGTTTGTTATGACAGCACAATCCCCTTGTTTTAGGGCGGGGCAGGCATGCTGCGGCAGCGCGCACTCAAGAGACGCGGCCCTGCATGGGCTGCCCTCGACCGGGGATGCAGCGCGAACCAGCACACGCTACGCGCTCACGATAGCACGCGTTCGTTTTCTCTCTTGCACACACATGTACAGTACAAACACACAAACACACACCCTTACACTATTCAAACAACACACATACACACACACACATGCGTGCGCGCGCGCGCACGCACCTGCTCCTCCTCTGGCGAGCGCTGCCCCTGCACCGGCATCGCCACCAGCGCCTCCGTCTGCGCCGCCACCGCCACCCTCAACGCATTGGACTTCTCATCCAGGAAGCGAATGGTCGCCAGGATGCGCTGCAGCTCGGAGGGCAGCGTGTTGGTGCTCTCCACATACTGCTCGAGAAACAGCGTGCAGCTCGCCATGGCTGCCGCGCACCGCCGCCGCCGCCGCTGGCACCGCGGCTGCCGCGGATCAGGGCCGCTGGGGCCGCCGCTCGCCCGGCGTCGCGCGCGTCCGTCGCGCGGCCGGGCTCGCTGCTAGAGGTGCGCCGCCGCTGCGGCGGCCGGCTGTCTTGGAGGGGCGGGGCGGGGCGGGCTCCCGCTGTTGTGGTGGCGCTGCGCCCTGGAGGGTCCTGCTCTTGGTATCCATCCAAGATGAGGTGTGGTTTGCGTCACGCCACGTTGCTTCGTTGTGGGTATGCTGCGGACGCGTTGCCAGGACGCATGAGTGACCATTGCTTACAATTTCAATGGAGTCGCACCTGCTGGTTCAGGGCTCGCTGTTGGCCACCCAACGCTATACTGCAGCAGCGGCGATTTTTTCGCGCGCGCGTCTGCGCGAGCGCTGTACAGCAGCAGGTGGGTGCTGCTTGCCCTCACTGTCTGCTTGTCCCTCCCTGTCAGCCTGTTATAGGTAATCATAAACCTGTTTCAAGCTACTGAGCTACCGGAAGGCCAAAGAAGCGCGCCAACATCAGATCGGCTAAAATTGATCTGACAGTTGCTATACGGCATTTGGTGCGTCAATACAATGTGCTGCAAGCGAAACACCAATTTCGTCCGACCACGCATCACCTGCAGAGAACCGACATACAATATACTGATCTGAGTGTCCACGCATTCAAGTTCAGTTGCGGGAACATTGTGCCATGCGGCCCTGTGGCACACCATCTGTGGGCAGGGTCCCCCGGCATAGGGCGAGGACATCTATCAGAGAATTCCGGAGCGTCCTGGTCGCCCACCCTTGGCCAGCGCAACGACCCACACGGCACGCCGCCGCTTTGGAGGCCGGCAATATCAATGTGGCACCAAGCGCCGAACAGCAGCAGCAGCAGCAGCAGCAGCAGCAGCAGCAGCAGCAGCAGCAGCAGCAGCAACAGCAGCAACAGCCCGCGCAGAGCATTATTGACAAGCAGCGCGGCGGCGAGCGCGCAGCGGCGGCGGAGCCGACGCCCCCAGGGGAGTATCGAGTAGGCGATGTGCTGCACGCCACGTCAGCGGGTGGCGACGACTGCTGGCTGGAGGTCCTGCCTCCCGCTGCTGGCACGGCGCCCGCGCCGATGCGTGGCGCGCAAAAGCGGCAGCAGGGGCGCAGCGGCCGCGGTCGCGAGCGCCAGGGGCAGTCGCGGCAGCGGCAAGAGCAGCAGCACGGCGCAGTCGTGCCGGCGGGCGCCCTCCGGGTGTCGTGGAAGGGGGTCGTGTACTCCGCTAGCGAACGCGGCGGCGGGGGTCTGGACTTGACGCCTGAAGGTGAACGGGGTGGCTCCTAGACTTCCAGCAGCACTGGAGACCACAGCCGTGCTTTGACTCGTCCCCTGGCCTCCTGGCCTGTGGCATAGTCCTTACGACTCACTGCATGCAACTTTGTGCAGTTGAAGCGCCTCGATGCGATCAGTGGTCCGGCCTTGCTGGACCTGGCACAACCCCTTTGTGCCGGCTTTGGTCCGCTCCCTCCGCTGCCAGCCAGCTGCTGGTCAGCGACCTTGCTGCCAGCCACCTGCTGCCAGCCATCTGCTGCCAGCCACCTGCTGCCAGCCACCTGCTGCCAGCCACCTGCTGCCACCCACCTGCTGCCAACTGGACTACGTGCGGCCGGCCACCTGCTGAAAACCGAAAAGCACCTTGAGCCAAGGACTTGCCGCACATCGCCTGCGATCAACCGCCTGCCGCCTCCGACCAACTCCGACCACAGGCTGGCTGGTGTCACCAGAGGACCCACTGGTGACGGCCATCCCCGGCTGGGCCGAGCAGCTGCTCCGCGACCGCGGGCAGCTGCCGGGCGAGGGCGTGGTGCTGGAGGGTGTCACTGTGACGTCATCGTTGGGGGCGCTGGAGCAGGCGGTGGCTCGGGACTCGTCGGTGTGGTGCTGCAGGGGAGGTGTGCATGTGCTGATGATCGTTTAGGTGGCCGCATGAGCGATTCTCTTGAGGCTGGGACACCCTAGCGCCGTTGCATCATGGTTGTCGGTGTGCGCACTGCTGTGACTGCTCCCGTAGTCCCTTATAACCACACTGCAATCCGATACCTTGTACTATCGGAAAAACTTCATCGCAAATGGGTGACGCGGCCGCTTCTAGAAACCCACAGCAGCCCTCAAACTCACCCCGCCGCCCCTCACCCCGCCAACCCACTGCGTCCCCCCCACTCCTCACGCCTCCGTCCCGCCGCGCCCGTGCCTCTCCAACCCCTCCCAGACCCGGAGGCGCCGCCGCTGTCCGGCCTCGCGTCCCAGACTCTCTGCGCGGGGGAGCTGGCGGCGCTGATGAGCGGGGCCAGGGGGGTGGCCATGGTGCAGCTGCATGTGGGGTGAGCCCCGCAGCGCCGCACCCCGCGTCTCAAGGCCTGTGCCCACCCTGAGCAGCGGGTTCTGCTTGCAGTGGGTGCCGTTGGCCGCCGAACGCCGGGGCGTGCGGCCAGCCTTCGCGCCAGTGGCGTTCATTGGCTGCAGCCTGCTGCTGCGCGCAGTCGCTGGTCGCGCGGCGGCCGCCCCGCGCCGTCGTGCGTCTGCTGTGGCCCCTGGTGGGCCCCCGTGCTGCTGCCGCATCCTGCCAGCCTGGGTCCCGCCGGCGTCTGCACACCCTTCCCCCTTTCGCCGACAGCCTTGACGCCGCCCTTGGGCCACAGTGCACCTTGACGAGGGTCTTGTCAGCCGCGTCAAGGCCCTAACACCATAC